CCTAGAGGCTATGATGCAATAATATTACCCCCTAAATGTTTTCCTACTGACACTGGATCTTGGCCCACTTCATTCTTAAGAGCTAGGTCTAGCAGTGCCTCCTTTCTTGTTGGACTGGAAACAGATTTTTGTCAATTTTACCCCCTCTGCCCTTTCACTGATGCTATCCCAGTCCATACATGATTGAATCCATTTCCCACTGTAAACTATACTTCCCATTTATACCTCCAATCTTCTTGCAAATTTATTACCCAAAATGCATCCCAATAGTTGGTGGCCTATTGGCTATACCAAGCAATATATTTGCATCTTAGTTTCTTGGCTCTTGAAAAATCAAGTGTCCTGGTAGTCAGATAGCATTGTGTACATTCTTCCAGGGTTCACATTAATGATATGACGTGCAATGTTTTCTCCTAAACATCATTATGAATTTAATTCCTACTCACCTGAAAACACCACTTCCTTCCCAAAAGCAACCCCTCACATCTCTTTATGCTTTCAATAGCATAGCTGTACTGTAGTGGAAACAATAAAGATCATACAATAAAATTATAGGTTCCAGTAAGTTTCACTTAAACACTTGCCAATATGCCAAAAAGTTGAATGAAACAGCATTTTCCCAGTTCTCTGCAACACTTTTTTCTCAGATTTCTTCCAGTTGGTGATTTTAAAAAAAAAAAATAACATTGGTTAGTGTGAACTAAAATTTTCCACAATCTGTTTAATTGATCTAATATAAACTTAAGTTGTATTGATTGACTCATTATCATGTCTACATTGTAGACTAAGATGGATTTACAAGGAATTCCAATCATATTGGAGCTAGTCATCATAGTTTAACTAACTTGTCAAATGGATCCTGGAAGTTTCCTTTTTAGCAGAGTGTGTGGAGAATGCAAAATTCCCACCTAGGAGCAGATTTTTTTCTAAATTACAGCCAATTGCAAGTAAAAGTCTCTCACATTTAAAACTGCAGCAACCAGTGTCATTCTAACCTCATTAACAAGCTTGTGTTCTGTCACTTACCCACAACATCTTTTACCCAGCATACTTTCAATCCTCTTAACCAACAATGGCATGAAAAACTTAAAGTAATCACCAAAAAAAGATGTGTTCTTCATCCTCCTTCTATTGATATTTTCATCCTGTTTCCTGTGAACTCACCTGGAACCTCCAATAATTCTTCACAACTAAATACATATCTTTAGTGCATTCTTAGTCAATATTTGAATGTTTACCCCATATGTACCAAGATTGCTTTGACCTGAAATGACACGATTTCACTTTTGGGGATCCAGTGTCAGTACTGCAACCACACTGGGACCAATTATAACATTGTTGGATGTAGGGTAACCAACTACATATTTTGTAATTTGTAGGGAGTTTTACTGCAAAGCTGTACTGGAATTTTGGGCTGATAAGGATTAAAATGGCTGAAAATGTACACTTTTTTGACTGTTTGCCTCCATAGAGACAGATCACTAATTGAAATAGAGTAATCACTTCTCTACAGTGATATGAACAAATTAATTTTGGATAAGAATAGGTAAATCAGTCCTGCTATTAGATAACCAAGTTTGAACTTAACAGCACTTTTGGAAACTTGCCAAACACCATGACAATTCATAAAGATTAAATTTGGCAAAGACAGCAACAAGAATTCAGAACCACCTTTTCACTTAGTTTGTTTAGAAACCATGTGATAAGGGGCTACTTTCTGCATTTAGGGTTTTGAGATTCCAATCTGGAGTTTTGGTTGCCTTAGATTGATCCTCAGACTAGGAGCAAGATGGTGATTATTAGCAGTGATCATCTACTAGGGAAGGATCTACAGGAGTTTCTCAGAAGTGGAGTTTATAGAAGGAAGTACATCCATAATGTTGCCTGAGTGAAGGCTCCGATTCCTAACGGGAAGGAAATTTTTCCAGATTTTGAGGTTATTGTCAGGTACAACCCATTAGAATGAAAACTGCTGCCAGCTGGACCTGGTCACCATGCACTACTAGTCACAGCAAAGTGACCTCAGTTAGATTTTTACTGGTATGCATGTAAGGATTAGGAATTATGTCAACTTTTTCCATATGATAGCAGTTACAGTAAGCAAGCGAATGCCTATACAGATCTGGAAATGACCATCCATACTCGAGGTAGGGACTCCATAACAACTGTGGTGTTCTATGCTCTCCTCTATACTGTGCATCTCTAATGACAAGCTGCCTGAGGAACAAAGCACTGAGCACACATCCATTCCAGATAAATCTGAGGAGGAGGAAATGGACAATGGTAACCTTTTGTGCATAAGTAACAATTCACAATGTAAAAACCAAAAGAATTGCAGATGCTGTAAATCAGGAACAAAAACAAATTTGCTGGAAAAGCTCAGCAGGTCTGTCAGCCTCTGTAGAAAGTCAGTTAACGTTTCAGGTCCAGTGACCCTTCCTCAGAACAAGAAGGATCACTGGACCTGAAATGTTAATTCTGACTTTCTTCACAATTCATAATGTAGCCTGGGATGCCAGGCCTGCTTTTTCCTTAAGGTTTCAGTCTGCTATGATTCTTCAGAACTACTTCTGTCTCCTAAAGAAGAGTCACACTGGACTTAAGATTAATTCTGTTTCTCTTTCCACAGGCTACCAGATCTGCTGAGTTTCTTCAGCATTCTCTGGGTTGACTTCAATGGATATTGACTTTTTTGGGGTTCTGACATAAACCTAGGGAGCCCCTCAAATTTTCTTCTGGTTGTTCTTTGGTTGCAATTGTTTCTTAACATTAACTAGTTTGACACATGGTCATACACAAGGGGGAGAATTCCTGGTAGTGGAATATGTATAAGGTCACTACTTGACATCCTTTGTTACCTTTTATATCATGCCTTTAATCTTAACTGCTGTACTTGACAAATCATGTTGCTGGAAGACTACAGGTTGGCTAATGTGATGCCACTATTTAAAGGTAAGGAAAAGCCAGAGAACCACAAATCATTGTGCCTGATATCAGTGATGGGCAGGTTTTGGAGGGGATCCTGAGGGACAGGATTTCCATGTATTTGGGAAGGTAAGGATTAATTAAGGATAGTCAACATGCCTTTGTGCATGGGGAAATTGTGTTTCATTAACTTGTGTCGTGTGTGGTTTTTTCTCTTCTTTTTTGAAGAAGATTGAAGGCAGTGGTGGACATGATCTATATGGATTGAGTAGGGTGTTTGACAAGGTTCCTCCTGACAGCTGACTGTTCAGCAAGGTTAGATCATATGGAATACAGGGAGAACTAGCATTTGAATCTAGAACTGGCTTGAAGGCAGAAGACAGATGGTGGTGGAGGGTTGCTTTTCAGACTGGAGGGTTGAGACTAGCAGTGTGCCACAAGGTTCAGTGCTGCTTTTCACCACTTGTATAAGTGATTCAGATGTGAACATTAGGAGGTATAGTTAGTTTGCAAATGACTCCAAAATTGGAGGTGCAGTAGATATGAAGAAGGTTACCTCAGTACAATTAGATTTGGATCAGATTTAGCCAATGGGTCAAGGGATGGCAAATGGAGTTTAATTTAGAAATGTGAGGTGGTGCATTTTGGAAAGGCAAATCAGGGCAGGACTTGTACATTTGTTTAAGGCACAGAACAAAGACCTTTGAGTGCAAGTTCTTAGTTCTTTGAAAGTGGAGTCCCACGTAGATTAGATAGTGATGGAGGCATTTGGTATGTTTGCCTTTATTGATCAGAGCACTGAGTTTCGGAGTTGGGTGGTCATATTGCAGCTGTACAGAACATTGGTTAGGCCACTCTTGGAGGTGCATTCAATTCTGGCCTCCCTGCTATAGGAAGGATGTTGTGAAACTAGAAAGGGTTCAGAAATATTTTGAGGATGTTGCCAGATTTGGAGGGTTTGAGCTATGAGAGGTTTAATAGGCTGGGGCTATTTTCTGTGGATTTTCAGAGGCTGAGGTGTGGCCTTGTAGTTTTATCAAAACATGAGGGGCATGGATAGGTGAATAGCCAATGTCTTTTGCCTGGGGTGGGTGTCCAAAACTAGAGGGCATAGTTTTAGGTGAGAGGGGAAGGATTTGAAAGGGGTCTAAGGGGCAACTTTGCAATACAGGGTATTGCATGCATGGAAAGGGCTGCCAGAGGAAGTTGTGGAGGCTGGTACAATTAAACATTTAAAAGGCATCTGGATGGTTATATGAATAGGAAAGGTTTAGAGGCAAAATGCTGGCAAATGGGATGAGATTAATTTAGAATATCTGGTCAGCATGGACAAGTTGGACTGAAGGATCTGTTTCCATGCTGTACAGCTCTACGACTCTAGGAATCTATGCAGTTCCACTGTCGTAGGCTGTAAACAGTGCTTCTTTAACCATGGCAGACTCACTGATAGCATAGTGATGTTTACCTCTATCTGAAGTGTGGATATCCTTGCCAATAGGTTTGATCTAGATCACTGATTTCTCCTAGGAATTTCTTTTTTCTATTGTACCTACTTGTTTTTGTGCACCCTGTTGTTCTGTGACAGTGTCCTACTTTTTGACATTTACTTATGTTTTACAGATAAAGCATTCTTTTTGAATTACTAGATATTGCTTGTGCTTGCAAGGTTTTCTTTTTTCTGTGGCACTGATGATTAATACTTGCTTCTGTCCTCCTTGCTGCAATGCTTCCTCACGTGTCTTTCAGAGTTTTATACTTTAAGAACAGAATTGATTTTTCTTGCTGTCCTGTGATAAGGTTGATCTTCTCTTTGGATTGATCTGGGATGCTTCTGGACTGCTATTTCACTGAATATTTGAATGGCTTTCTGTAGCATCAAGTCTTTTTGATCGTAATAAATCTGACAAAGACTCATCAGCAATTCCAACAACAAATCTGACTCTTGTGACTGTAGAGATTTAAAGTCATTATTCATTTTCCACTAATCTGTAGGGATGATTGAAATCATCTATGCATTCCCCTGGATGCTAAATTCTGTTAACGCTTGCTCTTGCATCTTTCTTTTTTGCTTTCAGGTTAAAGCAATTGTCAAAGCTTTCAGAACCTAATCACTATCTGTTGATTCTTCAATACCTGGGTGAGCTATAACATCATTAACTGAGTCACAAATAAAGAAGCATATTAACTTCAGCTCCTGTTTTAGCATTTATTTAGATGCAAATCTGTAACTTAATCTAAAATGCCCAATTCTGAGATCCATTTGGCCATCTCTGAAATTAAATCGTCTGGCAATATAATTACTAGTGCCATGTTTTCCTAATATTATTTAGTTTATTTGCTTCAAAACCTTAGCATTGTTCTAAAATTCAGCTATACTGGCTAGAAGCTTTCTTATGGTTTTGCTATCAAAGTGGAGATTCTTGCCTTTTGCAAGTATAACGAACAATTCCTTTTTGTGGCTTCTTTAGATAAATCCTGCTAATCGCACCCTTAATGTTCACTTCCTTAACAGCTTTCCTAAATGGTGCTTCCTGCACCATTAATGGCAATGCCCATTCTCTTAACTGAATTATGCTCCCTACAACTCTAGTGTATAAATCTTGTTCTTTTGACAAGTTTCCTGGATGAATGCATTGTTTTCAATACCAAATAATATTCCCCAGGAAAGGATATACACTTTCTTTCAGGACAAAGATTGGAAATATTCACCTATGGTAGGTAACTGTCTTGTCTAGAGGCATTGTTAGTTTGAGAGTCTTCAGCACTACAGTCATGACACTATCTGAGCCAATAGCCTTTGAAAGTATCATATGTACGCAACTGTCTTGATGTCACAAGGAGCAAATCAAAATGGCTGAAGATTGGCTCCTGTGATATTGGATGTCAGGAAGAGTCTGAGCTAGATCATCCACTTGTCACTTCTGGCTGATTGGTGGAAATACTTCAGTCTTCTCCATATTTACTTCAATGTGGAAGAAATTGCAAGGGGATTAAAACCTAGCATCTCACTAGATACTGCCAAACTTCTGATAGGAGGATTAGATTAAAGTTATTGACAAGTCTTGGTGTCCACTCTAATATCTAACAGAAACCAAGGAAAAGTAATATAATCATAACATGCTTTTTACATGTTCATCTATTAGTATAGAACAAAATTTAAGTAGTGTTTTACTCAGCTGTCAAACAGATTTTCGATTGATTGACCTACATATTCAACAAGCATTTGTGTATGATTAATAGACCAACTGCAGAATAAATACTCCAGCTCCTCTATTTTTAAATAGCAATTCCAAGATTTTTAACTTGTGTGGGGAGCTGCCAATAACAGTATCTTGTCAGATATTACATTCTCTCAATTTTGCTTCTAACTCTAGCAGTTAAGCACTGTTGGAACCTTTTTATAGCTTTCTGAGAATAGATGGATGCAGATTAGATTTGTGGTTTGAAAAGAGCTTTGATCTGCACTGTTCACAAGCAGCAGCTGAGGCTGAAACTCTTTAATAGAGAGATCAGATACTCTGCTTATTTTTTGGCAACCAGAAGATTTGTAGTAATTAATATTCCAATGAGTTTTACAAAACACTGCATTTTATCTAGGTCAGTATTAAACAAAGGTGCTTTTCTATTTTTACAGTGCATGTGTTGTATGCAATAGATTGGTAAAACAGAGTGCTGGGAACAGTCAACAAATTTGATAGCAGATGCTGCCTGACCTGCTGAGTATTTCAGCATTTGTTCTTATTCCAAGTTTTCAGCATCCACAGTATTCTGCTTTTGTAAAAGAATGATTCTGTAAAGATTGGAAATAGAATTTGCCACTTAAGTCTAAGTTTATCTGATGTTTCATTTGAATTTGTTTTCTTAACTTTATAAATATTCATGTACTAACATACTGCAAATCATACTTGGGTTCTGATTTCTTGTGATCTCATGATTAACTAGCAGTGACAGATGTTAAGCTAATCTGGTCTGTAGTCCTCTGCTTTCTGTCTATTTTCTGTCTATACCAGGTCTCTGATTTAATACTTTGAGTTCCTCCCTCCTTTCTGTTTCCTGCTTTATTACAGAATCTGTTTAGTTCATCTGCCATCACTTTACACTATCAGTTCCCCAGCTTCATTTTCTATATAGGTCAACCCTCCCTGTTAGCTCCTTTCTTTATAGAAGCATTTACTAATCAATATTTTCAATCTGTTTATACACTTCTAGGTTGCTTTCTCTCATATACACTCCTTTTTCTCCCTATTAATCTCTTGGTCACACTACTTTTTTTTGTTCCTCTTCTATTCTGTCCAATCTATAGCCTGCCACACAGTCTCAATGTTTTTTCTTTAAAGTTTGAACATTTTTAGGTTTTTTAGTTAAGCAAAGATAGTGGGTCCTTTCCTTGGAATTTTTCTTTCTTGGAATTTTTTATCTATTCTGGAATATACCTTTTTTCAAATGCCTATAACTGAATCAGTATTGACCTACCCCTTAACCTAACTTGCCAGTTCATTTTAGCTATCTCCTTTCAAATTGTCATAATTGGCCTTTAGTCTTAAATATTAGTCTTTGTCCCACTTTTGTCTCCCTCAAGCTGAATCCAAAACTTGATCATGCTTGTCCTAAATGAAATTGCTTTTAAATTATTGTTACCTAGCAGCACCTTCAGTATGAGGTCATTCACTAATTCTAATCTTCCATTCCTTGAAGTAGTGGAGGAGAATATGTGGCATATTGGAAATGACATTGATGTAGTAATCCAGGGACCTAGGTTTTGGAGCCATGCTTTTAAATCCTGTTGGGACCCTGGAGAACACCAGCTCTGGTTATTGGCTTCTATAGGGAGAAGAGTTTATTCTCGCAACACCATAAATTACTTGATGCATGTTGCTTAAATGTTTTTATCACAACTATAGCTTGTATATTTTCCCACAAACTGAACCAGGATCTACTTATACACCCACTAGTGTCCTCTGACACTCCCCAAGTAGTCACAGAATATAAAAACCTAATCGGAATAGCTGCTGCTGTGAGAAGGGCTGATGCTGGCCGGGTGCTGCACTCAATGCGATCAACGTGTCCTTGACGTAGGGTCTGCTTCTGCAATGGTTGGTCTCGCGTTTTCACTGGTTGCATGCCCTGAGTGTCATCTTTTTATTCTCATCTCTCAAGTCATGCTATTGTCTTCCCATTGGCTCAGGCTAATTTACTTGTTGCATGACTTTACATTATTGGCCCCAGCCCAGAGATTTGGGTAGCATTGTCATTATTTCTCATCTAAATAAGGCTTCTTTCTTTTCTTTCTTTCCAGTAATACAGCATTGAAACAGGCCCTTCTGCCCAAACTGGTCCATGGTGCCCACTCAGCTAGTTCTAATTGCCTGCATTTGGTCCATATCCCTCTAAACACCTCTCATCCATATACCTATCCAAATGTTTTTAATGTTGCTATTGCACCTGCCTCCACCACCTTCTCCAGCAGCCCACTCCATATATGCACCACTGAGAAGAAGTTGCCCCTCCGGTCCTCCTTCAATCTGTCCCCTCTCCCCTTTAAACCTATGCCTGCTAGTTTCCAATTCCCCATCCCTGGGGAATAAGACTATTTACATTCAGTCCATCTATGCCCCTCATGATTCTATGTTCCAAGGAGAAAAGCCCTATCCTGGCCAACCTCTCCCTATAACTCAGTTACACTTATACTAGTGCTGGCAACATCCTTGTAAATCTTTGCATACTTTCCAGTTTAACTATGACTTTTCTATCCCAGGGTGACCAAAACTGCATGCAATACTCCAAATACAGCCTCACCAATGACTTGCACAACTGTAACAACATCCCAAATCGTATACTCAATGCCTCAATTGAGGGAGTGCAGCATGCTATATGCCCTCTTCACCACCCTGTCCACCTGTGACACCACTTTTAACAAACTATGTACTTGTACTGCTAGGTCCCTCTTCCTCAGGACCTTGCCACTTAATGTACAAGTCCAACATTGGTTTGACTTTCCAAAGTGCAACATCTCTCCTCTGTATTGAATTGCATTTGCCAGTCCTCCGTCCACTTCCACATCTGATCAAGATCCCTCTATAGTTTTTAACTTGTAATAATTAATTTAAACCAGTTTAAATCAGCTCAAACTAGCATCTGGGTGCAGGTCATTTTTAGTTCATAAGCTGCTTCTTTCTTCTTGTCAGCACCTTTTTTTGCATTCAGTACCTCCTGTTGGCAATGTTGGTGGCTGGTACCTCTTCTTTTGTTTTTTTTAAAACCTAGCTGGTTCACTGATTTCCACTAGGAAAACAAATCTGTCAACTTACTGTTATAAAAAGCAAAATACAAGTGGATACTGGAAATCTAAAAACAATCATGGTGAATGCTGGAGAAACGCAACAGGTCTGGCAGCAATTATGGAGAGAGAAACAAATTTCAAGTTTCTAGCCTGTATGATGCCCTATTTGACATTAAATGTTAACTCTTTCTGTTCCCACTAGTGCTGCTAGACTTGCCGGGTTTCTCCAGCATTCTGTTTGTTGCTATTCTTGCATGTGACTCCAGATCTTTGCAATATGGTTGAATCTTACCTGCTGTCTGAAATGATCTAGTGAACCAAACAATTCAAGAGCAAATAGCAATGGGTTACAAATGTTAGTCTTGCCAGTGATACACTCAGCCCTTTAAAGAATATATTTTTTTTAAAAGTCTGCTGTCTTTCTCAATGGAACCAGATTCATCATCCCCAGATACCACCAGGCTTCCAACTTTACAGTGTGACCAATGGCACTCTTGTCTGTCGCATCACTGTGGACCCCTGGTCTCTGTTGGAGAGAGAACAGCATAATAAAACTAGGGTGGGATGCAGAAAATTTTAGCCAAACAGTTTAAAATGTGTCTAACATACTCTTTCTTAAACAGATCTTCCCTCTTAAACTGAAGAGATCAGGGCAATTCTTCAAGTTACTTACTTCTACATTGTTTAAATCATTGCATTCAACATTTAGCCTTCCTACAATTTTCATTCTCTATACTTTATTTCGTTCCTGTCTTGCTGGCATTTATCAACCCCATTTTTCTTTTGCCTTCAAGCTTCCCAAATCAGTTCAAAGTTACAATAAAGCTG